TAACTTCAGTTCAAAATTTCGCTCAAATTTTGTTTACATTCCGGACATATATTTTGAAATTCTGTTCAAATTGTGTACAAATTTGGTTCAAAATCAGTTCAAATGCTGCACGAATTCGGTTCTAATTCCGTATAAATTCGATTGAAATTTTGTGCAAATTTTTTACAAATTCCGCATGATTTCTGTTCACCTTCAGTACAAATTCCAAACTTCTTACAGATTCGAGTCAAATTTGGTTCAAATTCAGTTCAAATAGTTTTTAAATATGCTTCAAAATTCCATATAAATTGGATTGAAATTCTTTACAAAATTTTGCACAAATTCCGTTGACATTCAGTCCGTTAAAATTTCGTGCCAATTCGGATGAAGTTTGGTTCAAGTTCAGTTCAAATCGTCATTCAAATAGTGTTGAAATATGGTTCAAAATTCCGTACAAATTCGGCACAAATTTTGTTTACATCCGTAAATATTTCTATAAAATTGTGGTCCAATTATGTACAAATTTTGTACATTATTGTAAATAAAAACCTTAACTTTTATATCGTCGAACTTATCGGAAAACATACAAAATGAAAGGTGATTAAATTTGCTTGGATATCTTGCATAGTTTTCGAGATATCCGCTCTTGAAAGACTATAATTTTGGAAAGAAAAACATTTTTGCCTCAGATTTTTTGCTCTTTTTAATTGGGTAACTCTTCAACGATGTACCTAAAAAATAAATACTGAGTGTTTTGTTTTGTTTGCGTCAGTGGGATGTATGTGTGTTTTGTTTGTGATGAGGAAGAAGAAGAGAAACAAGAGGTATCAACATCTGCTCGGAAGATAAGGGATTCCTTCTTCTCATCTCAAGAGGTTCTGCAAGAAGGTTCCAAGGATGCGACACGTCTTCCACAATTTGAATAAAACAAAGTCGGCTTTGCTAAGTTGTATCTGAAGTCGCCCAAAGAAAGCACCAGCGGCCTTTTCAGACTCTTCCTGCATCTTGAGGTAGTATGTGCCTCCATCGAAAGAGGTCTCCCTGAATGGATACAGGTACAAATGATTGTTGAAATCGGTGGCTACCATCAACCCTGACATCTCTGTCCAGGATAGGAAACAGGTAAGGTCGTGCAGTTTACGGAAAATATCAACGTGATAACCGATTGCACCACTTGACCTTACATTCCAAAGAACAAAAGGGCATTGCTGAACTGCCGAATTTGGAGATTTCATTCCGCCTACTTGGATAAGTATAATTAGCCGTAATTGCTTAAATGGATTACAGATAACAATTCCGATTAAGTCGAGAGCACATCTGTTAGGTGCGCGCTTAAAAAACTTGAAGTCTGACATCGGTTCCATATTTTTTCGATATCGGGACACGACTAATTAATTAAAAAACAGTTTAATTGGTTTGAACTTATCAAAAGTTACTTGTAAGCGTGTGAGATTGAAATTCCAGTTGTCCCTATTTGAAATGGCCAAATTTTATAGAAGGGGCCTTTACCCGAATAGTAAGTAAATCTTTTCCCTGTGACGTTAGAAAAAAAATGAGTTTAATGGTGCCACTGGCTCTACTCAGTTCCTGGGGGTGGCGGGGTCGTGGATACAAATATTTACAATTTCATTTAAATTTATTACATAATTTTTGGGCGCCAATCTGTCTTTAACTCACATGCCAACCGACAGATAAATCGACACGTATTATTGATTACAAAGTTAACCTAACACTTAATTGATTTACTTATATCACAAAGTTACGATTGATGGTGGTTAGAATTATGCTGTACTAATGGTGAATGAAATGAGGTGAATGATGGTTAATTGGGTGATAACTCAGGTACAAACAATTATGAACACGGCGTTCTTTCTTATCTGTTTGTGGGTTTTCCGGAGAGGAATTGTGTACAGCCGAGCTGGCGGAGCAGGCTCTTGATTAAATTTGGAGGTCGCTGAATGCTGACAAAGATGCTGATTAGTTCAATATCGAAAGGACTCGGTATTCACTCTCCGTGCTTCGGATTTACTTCAAATCTATCTACATTCTATCTTCTATGCACATTGGGGTAAAGAAAGCCCTAAAAATTACGCAGTATAGGAATGGACACGAACGCCCTTCTTTTACTTACTATAGATGGAAAACGGCTCGCGTTAACTTGGTCCGTTGTTAAATTTTTGGACGGCCAATTACAACGATTATTATTTCTTCTAATGCAATTCTTGGGCCCCAGTCGATTCGCAATTTCTCTTAAACGCCTTTCTTTAATCTCCGCTACAAACACACTCTCTCATACTTTTCTCTTCTCCCTTTCCTTTTTGCTTAACGCAACCGCCTGTTTCCCAATCTACTTTCTCCCTCCAATTTTCCGCTCGTTAGGGAGTTTGCAGTAATTCTGTTTTAGTTTTCCCGAAGTGACCACCGCCATCTTCTAAACCCGTCCGATTCCTGGCTGCCGTTTCACCGGTTGCGTTTACCCGAGGCACCGACACCAACCCGCCAGACCGTTGCTACCGCCTCGACTAGGCGGGAGACCGTTCTCTTGGCGGCGCTTTAGTCCGTCCGTTCATCCGTTTCTTCCCGCCGTTCCGCTGCCTTCCTCCGACACAAATGGTTAGCGCCGACTGCAGCTACTATACCTATATTAATTTCTATACGTTGTATATTTAGTTATTTTTGATTTAAATTAAGTGGTAATTAGTTCGTTAATACTTATTTAATTTTAGTTCCCCGATTGTGTGAAAGTTCGTCGCTAGGAAGCATAGGGTTTTCGGGTTTTCAATTTGTTTGCTTCCTTTTCGAGTGTGTGTGCTGGGTTTTTCGATCGTCGGAAAACTTGTAGTTTCCCTCCTGTCGAAGGAGAGGGGGAATGTAACGTTGTAATTATTCTAAGTTAGTCAGTACGAATTTCCCTTGTTACGGCACTGGCGGGGGAGAATGCGATGTAACCTTCAATTGTTAGTTTTGACGATTGTGGGTTTCGGCATTGGTACCTGCGCGATTGGCGGGGCGAGGAAAATTCGTGCGTGACTTACTTTCTTTTCGTTGCTCGTTTTGGGAAGACGCAAAAGTGTCGGTTGAATATTAGTTCGCTGGTGTAATGTCGTAAAAGATTGGTTTCCGTCATCTATTGAAGTATTACCTTTCACGGAATCATCTTATTAAACTATGGATTGATAGTTTTTTTTTGGTTAATCAATATCGTAGTGAACTCTTTTGAGAGGCTTTTAAACGAATTACCAGCGAAACTATGTAAGTAGATATACGGGATTAATATCTCGGCCATTATAATGTTCATTTTTAGTGACCGTATCTTCCTGATCGTTATTAATTATCATACAACGTCAATCTTTCCAATAGACCTTCTTTAATAAGAGGTAAAGAGGGTTATGCGTACTAAAATGCACCGTTTTAAACAATCGCTTTTTAGGGTCCTTGTATCCCGTTTAAATTTGCACATTAACATATGTCACCGGAGGGACGTCCATTTTGAATTATTACCAACAGATCCCTTCATCTGAATACACATTCAGCAGTAATCAGCCGTTTGGAACCATGAGATAGAATACATGACCTATATCTGAGCTTATCACCGTCGACACAATTACTTAGCCTATATCAATTATCTGACCAGTTTTGGGGAAATTTTCACTATTTTAAATTTAATTGTAATCGTAATTCTGGTTAACGATCTTTCGATTAATGCCTACATAATTGGCTCTGATTATTGTTTTTGCATTTGAGATCTCCTTCGGAGACATGATTTAATATTGGTTTGTCCTATTACGATCGTGGGAAGTACCGCAAGTGGTAAGCCCTCAGGCACCGTTAAGTACCTCACTGTAGCATTTTTGATTCACCGAGGCATTCTCGGTTAATTTGTCCTTTTATTCTTTATTATAGCTACTAGGTTGAACATTCCTGGGATGAGCTCACTCCACGAATGCCTTCGGAACTCCAGGTAAGAATAATACCTTCTCTTTATATACTTGTGTGTTCGCCACCTCGTTTTGGGGTTAATAACGTTAAGTTTCATGCCGTCGGGTGTGATCGAGTTATCGTTCACTAATTTGTGGGATTAATGTTCAATTAAGTAAAGTTTTTGGGGGAATTCAATTTAGGGGAAGAGATTAGTAAATGTATATTGTTTTTAGTAGTGCATATTCATGCGTTAAGATTTTTTCTGGAATTTGGTGTACCTTACTGAATAAATTTTTGATTTTTGGGTGGTCAGGTACTCACTGATTATATTATTGTTGTGCCGCTACTGTTACACTTCCTTATTCCGGTAACAGTCAGTGTATAATATTCCAGGTAATAAGGTGGCGCCCTTACTGCTTTGCTCTAGCATACCTAATTATTAGATGAGAGGAACGGAATCCAGTGCCCGCAGAGACCGAACGATACCTAATGACCCTTGAGTGCTCAAGCTTACCCCGATTAATAGTCACCCCTGAGCTAGTTGGCCGATTAGCGGCGGGTTTGAGCAAATTCACCGTTATAAGATATAAGCGAAAAACCGGAAAATGGGGCCGTCAATCGCCAATGATTTTTGTTTTCAAAAGCGGTAGGTGTACAACGGAAACAGATTTTGGTACAATGAGTGAAATTAAAACTAGGTACATTGTCATATATTAGTTTCAAATATTAGTTTATTGAGATTGTCTGGTAAAATCATGCAGAGCTAAGATTTCGTAAAGAATTGAATTTGGACGGAAATTATTCTAGAATATTCTCCGTATGAGTCACATCATTTTTCGTTCTTAATTGTACGCAAATTAAGAGATGCGCGATTAAGAGAACAATTATTGGACAAAGAGATCGACAAAAAATGGAACGCGACCTATACAACGACAAACAAGGCAGTTGTAATCTCTCAGTTTCGTACGAAATAATTTTGTGATGGGAGAATATTAGATGTAAGATAGATTGCGACAACATATTATGGAGCCCCGAAAAGTGCAGGGCTTGTCCCGAGTTACACGCAATTATTTGATATGATTATTGATTGGTTGTCTTACCTCTACAACAGGACCCCTGATTTAAAATAGGTTGATGACACAGGTGACATGGTCTCGGTTTCTTGAACACTTTGCATCTAAAAGCATGGCTCGGACCGGCTGATGTTTCCGGCTGTAACAAGAATAATGCGTAAGTATATAGCATAAATGATTAACAGACCTAGTATAATTCATTTTTAATATCGTTTGTAATGCACCACAGTTTATAATTTCAAAGAAAACGCTGGTCATATAATAAAATAACAATGTAGCCGTAACAAACTTTATAGCTTTAATTATCCTGTCTAAAAAAGAAATAAAATATTTTATTATTTATAGATGCATTAAGACATAAAAGAAGATTGAGTGTAGTCAAAAAAACGAGAAACGGAAAGTATGGAAATGTATGCAGTAGGTAATTGCGACATGGCAGATTTAAAAATTGTAGTAGTGATGCTGAATGTGTTAAACTGTTAACTTTAATTGGTAATTACCTGGACGATGAACTCGATAGTTGCAACTACCATACAATTATTTATCTGAAAATTGAATTTCTGGGTATAACTTTGACCACCCTTGAAATTACTGTAAATCAAATAAAATATGCGCTTTTAATGTTAATTATTAATTATTATAAAGGACATGCTTCCACAATGCGAGTGGACTCGATATCTCTGTTTTTCATTTCTCGTAGAATACGATACCGAAAAGGCCAATCCAGTATGACCTGATTAATATATTTAATTTAATTATAAAGCGGTGGAACATTTATTTCAATTATAAATGATTAATTAGCTCGCGTGCGTCGCCATCAATTTAATTCTCTTTATAGATGTTTGCGGAAAATTATAGGCCTTTTTGTTCATTACATTTTCCATACACTTTTCAAACATTTCCATTCCTGCAGCCAAACTTTTTAATCCACTCAAACTAAATTTATTCAAAAGTTTCTTCAGCCCTCATTTATGACATTTTCGTAGTGGTTCTCCAAAATGAAGTATTCGCAAATTAATCAACTGCGAGCGGTATATTAAATTTAATTTTCCACCTCGGCCGTTTCCGCCAATAAGGACAAAATGAATGAATTAAATTGGAATATTTGCATTGTGCATGAAGAGCTTCTCGCTAAATTATGCAATTCAGAGCGTTTTTCGTCCATTGATTTTGTCATGGCAAGATATTTCTCAGTCAATATTCAAAGTAACTTTACGGTGAATGCGAAAACCGTTTAATCCAGTATTAAATGCAAGGTGTCGTTTTATTTTCTAATTTGAATAGCTAAATAAGATAATTTTTACATAGATCAATTTACCTTTCTTTGGAAGTCGCATCCCATTATGCTTAATTAATAATAAATAATGAATTAATTAAACAAATCCTTATGCAGTAATACAGTCCCTCGCCCTTTACCTCCCACTGCTACAAAATTATCGTTACGAAACGGTCACCGAACCACCCTGTCCAGCTAGTTAAATTAATTTGAGTCACTCACAAAAACAATGAAATGGAACTCTTAAAATCCTGCGTCATTCTAATACAACACAAACAAACAAATATAAATGAATAAACAACAATGCTGCAAATAAAATGGCACTCAGGCGGTCGATCCAAACAGGTTAACTAAACTCTTAATTACCTTTAACTTATCTACAATCCAAAAATCCAGTCTTATATTGCATTAAATGCACACAAAAACACAAACACTAAACTGACTTCTTCTCAGGAAACACCTCGTAACACTTAACTTCTATATAACTCGACTATTTTTTTTCAACATAACGTATTAATAAACTCTCCAAACTAAAAACACTTGACGTCAGGTGCATTGGAAAATTCCCCTATGTCGCAGGCAAAAGCCTGACTTCCTACAAACGGCCAAAGGCGAAAAGGCTCCGTTAAAACACTTCCTCTTCCATTTAACAACTTTTCCCTCTCCTTTTTATGCCCTTTTTCATTATTCTAGTGTTAAAGTACGCACAACTCTTATCTAAAGTGCGCACCTGCGACAACGTCTGTTTACAAAATTAATTAACTTCTTAGCGATAAGCGCAACTCTTACCGTAACGACTGGATTACAAAGAAAATAAACCAATCTTTAAAAAAATGCTTCATTTAAACAAATGTTCCTTACCTTTTCTTCTCCTCTACTCCCATTAGGTCAATGCCCTCCGCATTTTTTGTGATTCCTCATGGGCACGGTGAAAAAATCTCAATATTAGACTGTTTTATTTTAGAATTGTTAGATGGGGCACTTATGGCTGGACCAGGTTGGGAAATTTTACAAGATCTTGTCGTAACTTTGCACCCCGTTACTATTGTACAATTAACTAGCGTCACTATCTAGGTTCACCATTTAAACAATAAATCAGATGAAGAGTTCAAGGACAACATTATTGAACCACGTTAAAGTTCATGGTCCTACACAGTATGCCTAGTTAAAAAAAGATGGTACGCATAGATTTTGCGGCAAGTAAAGGAAAAACGGGAGTGTTTACCTCGTGACTGGGAAAAGAGTATATGTGTTTGTACGCTAATTATGTGAAGAAATCTGTCTTTTTGGTTGATTCAAGACGCAGTTTCGTCGTTATGCAAATATATAATATGTGCAAAAGTAGTTGAATTAAAGTCATATGGAAAGGTTAATGCGGTTTGTCCATTAATGGAAGGAAGTTACGTCCATTTGAAAAAGTAGACCTTCCTAGGAGGTTCTCTTATTAATGTTAAAAGCGACTCCCGTTCGAACAGCCACCGAAAATTTGTCATTGTGTTCAGCAGACAGTTTGTTTTGTTATCAAGGCCGTGTGCAAAAGAAAAGTGAAATACAGAAGCCATCAGCAGTTGTGTGTGAGTAAAGTACGTCTGTTATCGTAAACCATTGATTTAACCAGGTTAGATGGATTTATAAGCAAAAACTGTAACTAATTTTAAGACTTAGTTTCTTTATTTGTTTTTGTATTTAAAAAAATAAACTGTGTAGCCCCTCCTTTCAAGGTTCAGGGTTGTATTTTACGGAATCAATTTTTGTTATTGTCAATCAATTAATTGTGTGTTTATTCGAGCTCATTGTGCGACCCAGATGGAGTATTTATGTTAGATTTTTAGTGCACTTTCACTTTCAAAAAATAAAAAGTTCACTTTGTGCTCTTGATGTCTGTCTGTCTGTCTGAGTCACAAGGGCTCCGGAACTACACCACTTACAGACTTAGTACTAGTGTCACTCGATCAGAAATTAAAAATTAATTCACGTTGGTATTCTCGTTAAGGCATGAAATTCCCATAAGGGCTATTAAAATGGAAAAAAACAAATTTGAAAGTGCACTCTTCGCCTCTTGCTCACAAGCGGCTAAACGAATTTTTGTTAATAACACTTTTACAAACTAGCTTTTTACGGAAGTCGATTAAGACCACTGACTCTTTCAAATTAAGTAATTTGAAGAAATTATTATCATCTTGATAGCGGGAAATTCGTGATTAAAATATTAGAAATTAAGCTAGCTAGGCAGAGGTGTTTTGTGGGCGGCGTAGTGACCTCATGCCATTGCAGGCAGCATTATTTATTTGGCGCCCAACATGGAGCAACGGAATTATCTATATGGTGCCAAACGTGGGGCTACCGCAGTATTTATATAACCAATGGCGGATTTGCAGTCTTGGCCGCCCTAGGACCCAGGCCACGTAGCCGCCCCTGTCTTATCAAATCATATAGACTAGATACATAATGAATTTACTTTATTGCCAACTTTTAAAATCGATTCAGAAATTTTAATTTAGTTAACTCTTAACTATAACAGCTGCTAACTCTGCTATAATAGTTCGTAATACTTTCTCTAAGGTTTTAGCCAGGTTTTATTTATTTAACTAGTTTAACAATAGGTTTATTCTCATACAGGTATAATAAGTAGGTATTTCACATTGCTATAAAATCAGTGAGCAACAACTTTTCACTTTAGAATATTCAGGTACGTACTCTGAGTCTGAGTCATTTCTTGTTATCATCAGTGACGATTGGCCGCCTATAATCTCTGGCCGCCCTAGGCCCGGGCCTACTGTGCCTTATGGAAAATCCGCCACTGTATATAACCAACCAAAAATAGGTAAGTTCATGCAACGAGTTAATAGCCTAAGGAGCCTACAAGTCAACGAGTCAATAAGTAAACATACAGTGGCGTAACCAAAGTGGAGGTAACACTTTCAATCCTTGAAATGACAGCAAACATTATTTTGTAACTGAAATGTCATTTACTTTCTCCTACAAATTGAATAATGAGCAACAGTTTCGAATTACAATAAATGTAGGAGACACAAATCCACCCTCTTCTTCATATATAATTAATTCGCCACATCTATGTATCGGAACCACCAGCTGAGCAATGTTTTACGTGTGTTTTTTGTTCTTCTTTATACCTTAGGCCAAGTTTACAATCAATAATTAGTTAAGCTAAAAAAGTTCACTTTACCAATTTGTATAACTTTGTACAGAGAGAAGAACGTTTTTTCTTGTTTTTAAGGTCAATTGTATTTTGCAAGTAAAGTCAGTTGATGGTTAATAAAGTTCATAAAAGTAAAGTTGATAAGAATTTTGATGTCGTTGATGAAATAAAATAGTCGAGTTTGTGTTATAAAGAAGTGAACTGTTACGAAGCAAAGAAATTGGGTTTTCTCAGAAGAATTCATAGTGTTTGTTTTGTTTGTTGGCATTTGAATTGCAGTGTAAAATTCGATTGTGTACAATTTAGGGGTAATTAAGACTTTATTATCATGTTTCGATCGACCGCCTGTGTTGGGTGATATGTGTCTCAGGCCCTGAGTGCCATTTTCATTTGCAGAATTGTTTGTTGTTTATTATTGAATTAATTTGTGTTTTGTGTAAAAGAACAGTTTCGTCTTAGAATGAGCTCAAGTTACGACCTAGGATTTTAAGAGTTTCACATGTAAAGTGTTTTTGTGAGTGAAATTAATGGAGATAGCTGGACAGGTATTTTGTGGGTGGCTAGTGACCCTTTGCCCTTGCACACACCATTATTTATATTTATCTCCCTTCGCGAACTACTGCGTCCATAATGTGATATTAACGTTTAGAATTTGTTATCTTAATTTTGTTGATTAAATATAAGTATTCGTTTACTTTTAAATTATTTCTATCTTTCCCTTTACTGTTGTGCGGTTTTTGTGAATTTAGATTTCTGTTTCACCCTGCTTCTTAAAACAAAAGCAAGTATTTTCTAATACGTTATTCGTGTTGTTCTATCCCTCAACCTATAACTTGAACCAAAGAGTATAGCTGGTAACGTATTTCTTGCCCATCCCCAGAGATGTAATAATTACGAACGATTTCCGAAATCCCAGAATAATATTGCTATAGACAATTTTGTTCCTGAAATTAGCAAACCTAGTTTCAATATGCGGCTTATAAGCAAATGGGAACACATTTTCGCCCGCAAGATTTTGAACAACCATTACGTTTAAAACGGTTACGAATATTAGTTCTATAAATTCTAATTCTACTCATGCAGAACTGTTACAAATGTTTATTAATAGCGTTTCTAATTAGACGAAACTCCTTGATGCGTTAAACACTTGTTAACTAACGTAATGTGTTAAACCCATTATCACGAGCTGAACTTATTTGTGGGACAATTACCATTTTTACGAAATGCTAATGACATTTTAAATTTGTTTGGGTTTCGATTCGAGCGCGCCTACGGTCAAATTCGAAGAGACAGTGCGACATAATTAAGTTGTCACATTTCGGTTTTAAACAGCTGTATCGTACGAAGTACAAAGCGATTTCCTAATGACCATATTTGACTGACAGTTCTATTCAAATTCAATTAGTCACTTGAACGCCCTCTCCACGTTTACACCACGGCGCGACTTAAGTCAATACAAATAATACGCGTGGGAAAAGAATGTACCGCTTTCGGAGGAAATCAAACTCGTTAAATTTAATAATTCCATTCCAACCCTTGTAAACTTTTATAGTGCTGAGCTATCCAACTTGCGGAATACAACATTACCATTCAAATTGGATTTAATGCATCTCATTTATTCGGTGCGAAATTGAATTTTTTTTCTTTTTACATTGCGTGTTTGACTTTTTGCCCTTGCACCAAATTATGCACTTTTTCTCTCTGGTTTTCAAATTTATTCGTATCGAATTTGCTTTCATTTATCACCATAAAATTTTTTTTGGGCAGTTAAAAGACGTAAAAAAACGTCTGCTTCTGGTTTATAATGTAAAATGTCGCCATAAAAGTGTTTAAGAGATATAAAATGTTAATATCCATTTCAAAGTGGAAGTTTGGTGTAAATAATCGCATTCCAATATTTCCATGGAGAATTTATTATAATGATTCATTTAAACACTGGTACCATCCTTTCCAAGTGTCGATACTTTTACAGATATGGAAAATACTGATATTTCCACAGATACGATCTACACTTCGTTTCGTGGCGGCGCCTGTATCTACATAACTTTCTCGTAACACATGCTTCATTTGTTAATATATCTATTCATTTATATAAATTATTAATTTATGTTCTGTTTGGTGCTGAAATGTTGAATGAAGCGGAATTGATTATATCGGTTTATGACTAACAGTTTGTGTTATGCTATTGTGATTTGCGAAAAGTATTGACAAACAAAAATACCCTCCGACTGATTACGTATTCAATGAACACCCAAACACCGGAAAATATTCTAATATGTGCACGCATGTGTGATGAAATGCAAACATGTTCAAATACAGAAATAATGTATGGCGCAGCAAAAATTTCCGTATGGAATCCCGTAATGTGATTAAAATTCAATCCTAAATTCATATACGTTTCTATAGAAGGTTTTAGTAGCGTGTTGTACCATGGGAT